ATGATGGTTTGACAACACATCAATGACAGCTTTACATGGAGCCAGCTTTTTCAATGAGAAAGAACACAGCTGTACCACCGATGTGTCGCAGTAATTTAAGACGTAGGCACTGACGGCTGATTTATATCATATGCTGAACATGTATGTCTGAGACGGCACAAGAATGTCCGCAGGTAGCAATTTTTTTTGTTGCTGCCGTTATCGAGAGAGGGCAACTTAGCTATTTTGTTATCTTCAGAAGGCAAACTTTGTTAACTGGAAATAACAAGACAATAATAAAGGGTTATATTTTTATTATTAATGACCTTTATCAGGCCTCAGACTATAAAATAGTCTACAAAAAATATAAATACAACATAAAAAGAACACATATACAGTATATATATATATATATATATATATATATATATATATATATATATATATATATATATATATAGTCCATGCAAGCCTTAAGGTTTGACTGCATCTGGTTTTCAAAATAAGCTTTTTACATGCTTCTAAATTAATGGAAACACGATTCTATTCCGGTTTGTCCCTATGTAGGCAGAGATGTCGTCAGTCTGTTATTTCTTGAATTTCTGTTGCAGGAAAACCAAAAATACATTTCTCACACAATTTATTGGTATTGGTATTGTGATGATAATAATATTTTTTAATTACTTAACTTAAGAACCCCGTCAATGGAAAAAAAGGTGAAGCGTAGTGCCGACCTTCCGGTTCTACCTCAGGTAAACACCGATGTCTGCACAGCTATTGCTGAAAATCAATACAAAAATGACCCGTTACTTGCTGATGTTTTACTTCCAAAATATATAAGAATGTTTATCTGCAAAGTAGCTGAATGCCTCAGATAAATATTAATCAAAATGATTGTAAAATAAAACAGGTTGCTCTGTAGAGTTGAAAAGATTCATGAGAAACTGTAACGTGTTAGATTAATGAGCAAAATTGTGTTGAATTCATTGTTACAAGAGCAGTTAGTGTTTTCAACATACATTGATTATTGTGTATTGAATTGTATAGTTAATAGGAAACAAAAGGTGTCCTTCATTCAGTGAGCGAGCTTCTGTTTTTCTCCATCTGGCATGCTGCCTAACATCACAGTCCCTGAGATACCCGGCCCTGAGTGGCTCATTGCTTAAGTACTCCCTTTGATCAATCATGCGGCCACGGTTTTGAGCATAAATGTTTCATTTTCAGCGAGTTGTCTATCGGTTGGATTGTTACTTTTCAACAAATCCTTGGGCAAAGTAAGGAAGGTGCCGACGGCTCCCAATGCTGTGGTCACTATGTGTCCACTGTCATTTCATCAGATTGATGAAGTGCTGATGGATTTCTCTCTTGACTGATCACGGCTCTGTGGCTCCTGGTACGGCAGCATGAAGGACTGTTACCGGAGGCGGTTTATTCACCCACAAATACTCAAAGGACTGCACTGAGTGCTCAGCTTCAGCGCCTTTTTACGGTGACAATATAAAACAAGTTTTTGGATGAACTTATCCACACACTGAGTTATGATTTGGTCCTCAAATATTGCTTGATTTTAATTTTAACTAGTGTCACAAATTAGAGATGCAGATACCCGTTTTATTTACAAAGTACAATATACAATATACCTTAAACGCCAGCTCGCCTTAAGTGAATTATTATTATCATTGTTAAGCTTTGGGTTTCGGAACAGACTTTAAAGCCCTATTTGGGCTATAATTTTTAAATGAATCCGAGTCCTAACATAAGACTTAACTCTTATTAAATTGAGAACAATGATTTGAAGGTTTTCTCTCCATGAAGACAAGAGAGAAACTTTCTCATTAGATTCCACAAGTATTCATATTCAAACCTAACTACTTGGACAGCCATCTCTCTAACAGCCATTCACCTCTGCAGGGATTCATCTGCATTTTTACAGGCCAGATTCCTTTCAATTAAACCGCTAAGATTCTCTGCCGGAATACAGTCTTTCTTGTGTGTGAACGGACCCATTCCAGACGCTCAGCTATCCAATTATAGTACATTCCGCTTAACTGATGCTTATTAATTCCTTCAAACTCATTATAGCAAGCAAAATAGGCATCTCCCATGAGATGATTACTAATGAAAGCAGAAACCTTTCGTCAGTGCTGCTGCAGTCAGAGATCTTTCTGTTTAGATGTTTGCTTTAACATCTGCATGCTTGAGCTTTAAGTTCATGTCCTTCTCCGAAAATTATTTCCTCAAAGAAAAAAAAAGACAATTCTAAAGAATACATTGGTGCAAATCACTGTAAGGAAGCATTGTTCAGATCAGCCTCTGTAATCGCTTGTGGCAACACTTGTGCAAAAGTGTGTATGGATTATGTGTAGACATCAAGAGGATTCTACACTGTTGTAGTTGGAGTAAATAAAGCTCCCCCTGACTGACACGGAGTAAGCAGGGCCAGGCCATAGGGCGAAACCTAACAAAACACTTCAATCTCTCGCTGTTGTTCTCCACAGCTCCCCGAGGGTTTGATTGATTGATTCGCTGGCCAATCAGAGTACATTGATCTGAAAAACCACCCCCACTCTCAACTCCCCAGGCCTCCTCTCGGTCCATTCATCTGCTGGCTGTCAAAAGTATTCACTGGAGGGCTGTAGCTGTGGCGAGCCTCCCTCTTAAGAAAACCTCTGTGGCTCTCCGAAGAAAGCTCTTTACAGTGCCTCAGATTGTAATTCAGGCCACCCTTGATTCAGTATCATGAAGCTCATTCAGATATCGAATCCTGGTATCAAAAGTTTGCTTAGTTCTATTCATTATCTTAAGCCTAAACCCATCAACGTTTTCCAGCTTCGTCCTCAGGTCAGAAGAGATATAAAATGCAGGGGACTCGAGACGGTCGTACATGCCCTGAAAACCATTGAAAGAAAAGGGTCTAGGACGCACCCTAATCAGATGACCCTTCCCTATTCAAACTCCCCCCTCGAGCCTCACTCCATTTCTCATATTTAAGTCCCGACCAAAAGCTCAAGACTACAGGTGAAGGTCTGAATGTCAATGTGGTAAATCAAGAGCTATGCCCACTGACTCCACACACACTGGTCCAGTGGAATGTCCCATTCACTATTGGCTTTGCAACAACATCTTAATTTGTCAACAAGACCAGAAGAAATACTTAAACTCGCCTGGAGCAGTGACTCATTCACAACATGTAAGCCCCAATTCATTGTTTTCAAGGGTTAGACTCGATCTTAAAGACCCTTTATCCTAAGATGACATACAAGGAGAGTAGTGTCAAAAAAAGTAGGTACATATAACTTAACCTAAAAGTAGTTCTGGTGATTTCTGGAAAATGGACTTCCCATGTGGCTTTAACAAACCAAATATGGTCCGATAATCATTTCTAAACTTAATCATGTACGCCAATGATGAACTGGAAGTAACGCAATGGAAGCACGTTAATTCCTAATTTTTTAATTGCATTTCCTCTTCATGTTAGTCAACAAAACAGTTAGCTTGTTTTAGCAGCCCTGCTTAACCGTAAACTAAAGAGAATAACTAATTTGTGCAGTGGGACGAGGTGGTTACTTTTAGTTATTATTTTTTTAATATTGTTTTTATAGTGTCCCCTGTTTTGTGAATCTGTGGCCTTTTGTTTGATAAATAATAAAGTGCTGTTGGTTAGTTTTTTACTCTAGTCCTCCTACTGGTTTGACCCAACAGCCACAACTGATTAAACATTTGTCAATTACTCACCCATTCCATTGTGTGCACTTCTCGTCATCTTAATAGGATCCCCCTGTGCTGTTCTCCTTAAGGTTTCTTCCTTTTTCTCCATTTTTGGGGAGGGTTTTTCCGTGTCCGTGAGAGGGTTCTGTAGCAGAGGGTGTCGGATAGGTGCAGATTGTAAATCCCTCTTTGTCAAATTTGATATTATGGGCTATATATTGACACGTTCATTCCCATTCACATCACTAAAATGTTTTGAATTTCCTTCTGCTCTGACTCGGTAATGAAGACTCTTAGGTGTGTGAGAGCAATCCCCTTTTGTGACAATTTCTGAGTTACAAAACTAACTCCCATTAACCCATAGCTGTCATGTGCAGAATTTTTTTTGCCTTTAGATGTTGAAGCCTCTGTAAAGCCAAACGGATGTATTTCGTCTATTATGGTAAATTAGACCTCTGTTCAGGTTGACACTTTGATAAGAAGTTCTTAGTTAACCAATCCTCATCTGCCAATACGTTAGTAATTTCATCCGTCAAACATGTTTAAGGTGCTAGAACAGAAGACGTTGATAAATTAGTGTATACGCCTGCATAGGGTAGATTAGACGTATTTTGCGGTAGTATAAAGGGGTCCAATGAGCCACATGAGTGGAAAAAACTCAGTGTGGGGTCAAAGGCTTTACTAAGCAGCTATTGAGACTAATTCGAGGGTTTTGAACTACATTCCAATATTGAGACTCGAGTAAACCAAGGTTGGCAATGTGAAGTAAAAAACACAAGATCGCTAGAAAAGATGTTGAAATTGTAAAAACTCATCGTCTCAAATTTGAGTGCTCATAAGAGGCATTTTATGAAAGTATGTTTCATCTTCCTCTGGAAACACTTAAGTTAAGAAAGAAAATGACATTGACAGACTGGAATGTAGGTAGTTACAAAATATAAAAAAGAATGTTTCACTTTACTATCTACTATATAAGATTAAGTATTGGCCTATTGGGTTAGTGTGTGATAATTCAATTCAATTAATTTTATTTTGTATGGCGCAAAATCGCAAATTACAAATTTGCCTCAGAGGGCTTTACAGTCTGTACACATACAGCAACGTTCACTTGTCCTTGTGTGACTGATCCTGAAGGAGACTGGTATGCAGTTGACAGTCTTTTTCTCTTTTGTTTTTAATAATGTGGAAAACTAATATAGAGCTTTTTAATGATTTCCAATGTAGTTCAACAATGTAACGCTAAAGCACATTTTCATATCATAATAAGTCAACCAAAATGAATCACTAACCAGTTGTTTCTTTTTCATTGACAGGAGGGATATTTGAGTCCATTGAAAGCGGTCCATCGGGTGCTGAGGAATTAGCCTTTAAATTTGCTTTAAACACAATCAACAGGAACAGAACCCTACTGCCAAACACCACGCTCACCTACGACATCCAAAGGATAAACATCTATGACAGCTTTGAAGCCTCAAGGAAAGGTATTTTTGTGTATGAAGTCAGAACATCTGCCTCCGGTCTTGGCATAATCTTGTCTGCTGCGTGTGATTGTGTATGTATAGAGCGAGTGAATGTGTGTGTGCACGTACGTTGTGCATAGCTGCTTTGCATTGTAAATGTATTCCCCGTTTGAGGCCTGTGAACTGAGGTGGCTTAGATTGTGACAATTATAATCAGGCGGGGGAGAAATGGCTGAGCACTTCAAATGTAAACAGAGAAAATTGATTGGTTCCAGGTAATGACTCAGCGGCAGTAATTCAGAGACCGGTTTGGCCCCAAGAGACAGCCTATAAAGTGCTATAATCTATCAGTTTTGTGTGTGCATCAGGTTGACATTTCAAGTCTCTTATCAATTACGGGCCATTATATCCTGCATGAGTGATTCAGCCAACTTCCTTTAAAAGGTGATTAGAGTGCACAGTCGAGCTAATACAAAGACAGTGCAGTTGTTTTTATGTCTCTCAAACATATTTTCATTAAAGCAACTTCCCTATATATAAAAATATATATATACATATGTATATATATATATGTTATATATTTCTGTACACATGACATCCATTGTAGTCTGTCCATCCCGGGAGAGGGATCCTCCTCTGATGTTCTCAAAGGTTTCTTCCCTTTTTTCCCCATGGAAGGGTTTTCATTTTTTGAGGAGTTTTTCCTGTGCCGATGTGTGGGTTTCGGGACAGAGGATGTTGCATGTGTACAGACTGTAAAGCCCTCTGAGGCAAATTTGTAATTTGCAATTTTGGGCTATACAAAATAAAATGAATTGAGTATATATATTTTTTTCAAAAGAGACAACTGCTACTGTACATAGATTTTTGATGTTGAGATTTACAACAAATATTTTAACTGCTACTGTGTTAGACAATACTGCTGTTAAAAAGCACTTTATATTATTAGTGTATGTAAAAGTGCGCAATACATTACTTTTGAATCTGCGATTGTATTTTCCACATCAAAAATTGTAATCATTGCCCAGCACTATATTTACATGCATGACACAACAGTGAGCCCACCCACCAATGTTGACAGATTGTATTTGGCCCTGATTTCAAATGTTTAGCTTGTTTTCAATCCGTTGTGGCTCTCCTGATCTGAGGATATGGCTGATGTCATAGTATCCCGATTATTCACAAATCTTGTTACAAAACCCAATCCAAACATTCGTGGAAACATGTGTCTCTCAGGCACAAGCCTAAGGGTCCTTCATTAACAAGAGGGTTGGCAAACATTCAGTCGGGAGGAAAACTGTGCTTTTGCTTGGGACACTATACAGTCATTTGTTATTTAATTAGTAAATGGGATTTGTTGACAATGTGATGTTACTGGCTACTGTTAAGGTAAAGAACTCCATCACCCAGCATTCCCTAGTCAGTGGTGAAGGACATGCGCAGAGCCGGAGCGCGGCAGACCCCGGGTAGCATTACAGCGGACTGTGCTAGTTGACATTAAAAGTTCATGAAACGTATATCACGCCTCGCCTGCTTCTTATAAGATTAAGCAAGGTACAACAGACAATAATCAAATTATTATTATTTGCAGACTGGCACTTGTAAAAATAAGTGATAAATGCTGTTCACATACTCCATATCCCTGAAGCTAAATTCCCAAAAGCCTTATTTATAGTTTGGTGAGGAACATGGCACTGGTCATCAGGAACATATGCAGCATCACAGTAGGACAAAGCTAACCTGTGAAATATTCCTCCTCTTTAGCCTGTGACCAGCTCTCTCTGGGTGTGGCGGCCATCTTTGGTCCATCACACAGCTCCTCGGCCAATGCTGTCCAATCCATTTGCAATGCACTGGGGGTTCCACACATCCAGACCAAATGGAAGCACCAAGTATCGGACAACAGAGACATCTTCTACGTTAGCCTCTATCCAGACTTCTCTTCCCTCAGCCGGGCCATCTTGGACCTGGTCCACTTTTTCAAGTGGAAGACCGTGACTGTGGTATATGATGACAGCACTGGTAAGACTACAAATGTTCCTCTGCTGTTTTGTCATTCCATCCATTGAAGTTGTCCAGTAGTATTGAATAACCATTAATCAGATTAATCAATATCTTTTAAAATGCTCTTTTTTCAAGAAAACTTTTAGGGATACCATAGTTTTTGTGTCAATCTGTGTGAGGTTAGGTTACTTGCTGTACCAAGATACTGTTGTTAACACCATGGTTAAGCCAAATGCATTGCATTTTGGGGAAAACAAAAGCAAGGGTGTACCAATTTCACACAATACCTCTATTGGAAACAAACTAAAATTAGGGAACTAAAAGTAAGATATATACATTAGTATATAGATGAAAAACATTGCACTTTATTTCAGCAAGGACACGACCTTCCACTTTTTCATTTAGAATGTAAGAATAGCTTTTAGTAAACTAAAAAACTAAACAATAACTTGAAAACTAGTTGGAAAGTGATGAACATACATTTAAATGAAATCAAATGAAAAAAATAATTGTAGACAAAAAAGTTACATTGGTATTTATAAAGTTTTGAGTGTGCCAACAACCCATGACAAAATGTACGGACGTTAAGCAATCCAGGAATTATGACCCTGGTAAATATTGAAAGATGGATATTTGTTCATATGTGGCCTGTTGAGACGGCCTGTTGAGATCTCTTGATGTCCTGAGATAACGCAAGAATCGCACAATCACATATCGCATAAAAATCCATCTTGCCATCTTTACAGACTGTTTAGGTCCAGTAGGCCAGAGCTTGGACCAATCAGCATCCTCTGAGGAGCTACTAGCAGCTGCGGCAAAGATGCTGCAATCCCATCAGTTATATCAGACCTGGAGAGTACCTCTTCATGGACAGACGAGCGTAAAACGGCAATAAAGGCTTTTGTCCACGGAAAAGATATTTCTGTTCCCCCCGCAGATGGTTCTTCCAATCTCTTGCTGAATTATTTTTAAAGTGCCTGGCTTTTTTCAAACAGCTTACAATGACAATGGCAGTGGCTTCTCTGGTGGTTCTGTAAAAAAATAGTGCCACGTCAATATAGGACCAACCTTCAGACTGACCAGACCTGATCAAGTTGGCCAGTTCAAGCAGTAACCTCCAGCATTCACTGGGACGATTTGCAGCCAAGTGTGAAGCAGCAGGGATGAGGTTTAGCACCTCCACATCTGAGGTCATTGTCCTCTGCCGTAAAATATGTGGGGACGGACTAACCGGACTAAGTTCAAGTATCTCGGGGTCTTGTTCATGAGTGAGGGTAGAATGGATTGGGACTTCGACGGGCAGATAGGTGCGGCTGCAACAGTAAAACAGGCACAACGATGTAGTGAGGAGAAAGCTGAGCCGGAAGGCACACGGAAGGGGTTATATCTCCCAGCTGGCACAGGAACACCTTGGGAGCCCCCAGCATGTGCTGGAAAATGTTGACAGGTATGTCTGGGTCAACCTGCTGGGTCTTCTACCACCGCAACCCGACCCTGGACAAACAAAGCAAAATGAATGGATGGATGCATTTGCATAACCATTGTTTGAAAGCACCTTTAGTTTTGGAACTAGCAACTAGATTTTGGCCCACATAGTGCCAAGTAGTGTTTCCATTGTAGATGTTACAGAATTGATGGAAGTAAGTGAGAGAGGTTACAGGAGACATGCTTTCATTTTTCACTCAGGAAACAGACCCTGCTATTATTGCAGTCCAGGTCACAAGCAGACAAATAAGCCAGCAGGCTTGGTACATGTACCATATGCCAGGGGTCTGGTTGTGTGCCAGCCTGAAGACAGGCTGCCAGGCCTCCCAGAGCTCCATCCAACTGACACACTGGGACCAGCTTGGCCTAGAACACAGTACTGCAGTGTGTGTCCACTGTGTTTAGCATTCAGGCCAGTTAAACTCTGCTCTTTGAAGTCATATGTTAATTGTATCCACTAGTGTACCAACACATCTAAATTAAAAAGGAAATAAATAGCAATCAAAAATGTTCAGTGCAGTTCATTAATAATTGATTTTGCTACTAGAAACGATGACCTTAGTTTCCTCAATGTTAGCTACAGAAGCTAGCTACAGAATTATTTTCTTGCCTCAGCATTTTTTGGCCTCTGTTCCGAAAATGGCATACCCATATGTTACTGGTTAAGAAATATATCAATATAACACACAAACACACCTTTGAATTTTGTAAATCGCCTGAAATACAATCATTAATAGCCCTTTAAGTTCTGTAAAACATGGAGATACCAGGCTAAAACCACATTTTAATGATTGACCAGTGTGTGGAATGGAAGGTTTCATGTGGATAGAGTAGAAGATTACTACTCTAGAACAGGCTTTTGTAAAGGCCTCATGGCAGAGAAACTGGAGCAGTCAAAATGTGGATTTTTGTCCGGCTCTGGTTGCCTGATTCATGCCTTTCAACCACTTTTTTGAATTGTCTGATCCTATTGGATCTGACTAAACTCACGCTGAAATGATCAACTGCATCCTTAGCCACTCCAAAGCCAAAATGGGTAGGGAGTAAAATGACGACAGTGAGGATTGGCTGAAACTGTTTGCCATTTCCTTTGTTAGTACTTCCTAAAACAGAAAAACGCTTGGAATGTGGACAGCTGGCTCCATAAATTTTTTAAAGCACAAATATTTCCTTTTTTCCTTCTGAATAGTCCTTCCTATATATATATATATATATATATATATATATATATATATATATATATATATAGATCTAGCCTGATGCTGAAAGAAGCTAAACTGTATCAGATCGATGAAAAGGTGCTTAAAATGTTACCAGAGCCAAAATTCAAAGGACAGATTGATAACAATCTGTGTAGAATCTCTACACAGTTGAATTAAAAGTGCGTAAGACTCTGTGTTTGTGTGTATGTGTTTTTTTGGGGGGGTTATTTGCCCTGCAGGTCTAGTTGGCAGCTTTAGGGAACAATTGATTGTTGCTGATCCTGCCACCTCTGTTAATTAAGTTGTAAAGTGAACATTGCTGGTTCACTATGGGGTTAATAGTCGCTTGATTTTCTGTCTCAGTGATAGGAAATGAGATCCTGGCTTGACCCGCAAACAGCTTTACTTTCTTGTTGACGACATTTACACAGATGACCTGATAGTGAGGACAGATTGCATTGATGGTGGAGACTGAGGGCAAACCAAAATGTGAGCTGAGTTTTTGAAGAAGTTCAGGCAATATCTTATGTAATTTAACTGTTTTTGGCTCTGTTTTCAGTACAAGTGGCACCTTGCCGGATGTGCTGAGCAAAGTCAGCGCTGCAGATCATTTACAGTGCCTTGCATAAATATTGATCCTCTTGTACTTTTCTATATTTTGTGATGCTATAACCACATATATTTTTATTTCATAGTGAATTCATGTAATGTACCAGCACAAAACTGTCCATCATCTGAAAGTCGGGGGACAGTTTACATGGAGAAAATCTGAAAAGTAGGGCTGTCAACATAAACGCCGAATTGATGCAACCAAATATTTTAACGGAGTTAACGTACGTTTGTTTACTTCCGGTTTACACTAAACGAAATGGCCGCTATCTGCAGTCAGTTACATCAAGATGGAGAGAGCTTTTTGCAAAGGAAATAGAACAAACAGGCACGACATACAGCGGAGAACAAAGGAATGTGCAGAGGAATTACTCCTTGTGTCAAACAAAAGGGGGGTGTCACGGTGTGGTTCACTTCCTGTCTTATTTTGTAGTTTTCTGCCACTCGTGTCCCCGGGTAACTTCACTTCCTGCCTTGTCTCGTCATCCCCTGTGATCGTCTAATAGTTTCCACCTGTGTCCAATCACCTGCACCTCCCTTGTGAGGTTAAGCCGTGTGTCTCCTGTGTCACTTGTTGCGTCATTGTCTTTCGTCTTGGATCGCCGTAGTTTCTTGCCTGTGTGCGTTTGCCCCCGGTTCCTGTGTTTTTTGACCCTTTTGACTATTAAAGTCTTTTGTTTCCCGCAAGTCTGCGTTTGAGTCCTGCCTCCCACACGCACCCCCGTGACAGGGGGTGAGTGGCCAACGGACCACTTAAAGCACTGCTGTGCTAAGCTCGCTGCCAGGCTAAGCTAGCTGCTAGGCTACTTCCATCTCAACGTTACCCTGTGAGGCACACAGTCTGGAGAGGACCACCACTGTGTCCCTTAAAGACCATGGTTTGAAAATGTCCTGGCTACATTTAGGGAGATTGTTGGCACTTCAAACACAGCCATTATATTTTGGAGAGTTGAGAGCAAAGTGCACAAGGACAGCAGGTAGAGTTACTAGTTCAACACGTTCCACCCGTTGGAATTCCGCCTCCAAGATGATCAAATGTGTGTAGTTTTGTGTTTAAAATAACATTAACAATTAAACAACAGTGTCTAAAATACATGTTTTCTAAAGTGATTACTCATCACTTGTAAGATTTAGTTTTAGAAAAACAAACATTAAAAACATCGTAACAACTACAACAACAACATTCATTAATCGCCATTAATCGAGATTCATTAATTAATTAAAACGTGCGATTCATGACTTTATTTTTTTTAATCTATTGACAAGCCTACTGAAAAGTGTTGAGTGCATATGTATCCACCCCCTTTACCGTAAAACCCTGTTTGCAATTGTATCTCACGTATACACGTGTTCTGTAAAGGCGTTAAAGAGCATCGCTGTCAGGGGTGAGGGTGGAAGGCAGGACTCAAACGCAGACTTCTCCAAAACAAAAGACTTTCATAGTCAAAAGATCCAAAATCCAAGGGGCAAAAACACTCAGGCATGAAACTATGGGCATCCAAGACAAAAGTCAGGACAAGGACATGCGTGGCAAAAGACAATGACGCGACAAGTGACACAAGAGACAAACGGCTTAAATACACAAGGGAGGTGCAGGTGATTGGACACAGGTGGAAACTATTAGACAATCACAGGGGACAACGGGACAAGGCAGGAAGTGAAGTTACCCGGGGACACAAGTGGCCGAAAACTACAAAATATAACATGAAGTGAACCACACCG